CTTTGGAGCCTGCAGGCTGCGGCCAGGGTTTTGGGTGTTTGATGACCACATGGAGAGGGGCTTTTGAAAGGCTGCACTTTGTCCTGCTGGGGAAGTAGCACGAGAATCTAGGGTTGGAAGCCGTAAGCAGAAGGTGCGGGCTCAGGATCTACCTGGGTGGGGGAGGTTACGTGAAGGCTGAGACTCAGAGGGCAGGACTTTCTTCTTATTGACAGTGGCTACTGTCACATGCCACCGAGGTTGGTACACAGCTTGCCCGCAGTGCCCTGCTGCTCCCATGATACTAAAGCTAATGGAACTGCCACTGTCCCAGCCTCAGCCTCTGGGTCCATCTCTAAATCTTCTCCCTCTCAGGACAATCTAAAGATTAAACAATGTTCTACACCGTGCAACTCTCCCGCTGCTATTATTCACACACTTTTTCCTTTCTTCTGCCAATTTTCTTTTATGATTTCCCCAGAAAACTAAAAGAAGGTGCTGATAGGCTTTCCTTCAAGCTATTCATCTTGAGATGGGGGTTGTGTTCAAGGAGAGCAAAACCTCAACTGAAAAACATCCCAGGTGGGGTGGTGAGAGACGGCCGGGAACAGTCTGCGGTGGCTTACCAGCACCACCTCCTCTTCAGTTCTGGCCAAGAGATGCAGCGATGGTTAGGTTTTATTCATTTCTTAGACACAAACTCCATGAGGCAGCTGGTTCACAGCCATGGGAGTGAGCCTCTTCTCAGGGGAAGGGCCTGGGTCTGGCCCCTGCTATGGTCCCTTGGGAGCTGCCCCTGGAAAAGTGAGCAGCTCATTTAAGAGCTYAGCTCTCCTCTCGAAGTCGCCAACTAACTGTCGACTCAGCTGAAGCTCTGTTTGGAGGTTCAGATCAATGTGGGGGAATGGGGGGCACCCATGCTGGCCTATAGCCCTGGGGACTACCCTTCACAGAACTCCTTGTGGATCTTCCTCTGGCTGCTTGGAGAGGGAAAAGGTCTATCCTGCCATTGTTCTTACTGCTCTTATTGCACCTGTGACAAGTCTCAGGAGCTCCATTGTTCGCCGGGAGCCTTGCTCATCAAGCTGCAAGTTACACACTGACGTTGATATGGAAGGCTGACTCAGCCCTGGTCTCCACCACACTCTCATCTCTGAGGCCAAACAGTCCTCACGACAAGTTTGGCAAAACACTGAAAAGGTTTTAGCTCATCCAGGTGCTCAGTGTGGCCCGCCTACTGGAGGGGTCTTTGGGAATGTTTAAGGGTTGAGGCTGAGGAGGCAGAAGGGCTGGGGGACGGCACAGGAGTGTCCCAGGAGGGGATCTACCCACATCTCTCAGGCTCTGCTCCTGATTTGCCCCAGAGGCCACCGGGGGAAGGCTCAGCCTTCGGGTGTGATCTTTCCATTTCACCTCTGCCACCATTTGAACGTCCACAGGTGTCCTTGAGTATGGAAGTTCCAGGTGACAGGGACTCTAGATACCACAGGGTGTTTCTGAACAGAAGAGCAGAGTTGGATTCTGGTTCCTCCGGGAACCAGCTGGGTGACCTGGGCACTCTCTTCCCTCCCTGAACCTTAGCTCTCCTCTAAGAAGTGAGGGGGGTGGGTTGGCTCATCTCTAAAGTGTCTTTCCATTTGAAGTCTCTGAACCTGGGGTGACTTCCTGTTCTTCCTCCACAGCTGCTTTCACTAGAACTCTGTTCACTTGACAGTCTGGATGCTGGTGTCAACTGGAGATGCGCTGTGTGGCACTATGTCAGGTTTCCCTGGAAAAGCACACACTCCACTAAGCCATCAAGTGGTGCTCAGACTCAGGGCCACCGCACTGTGGGCTTCACCAGCACCGTGGTGAAGACCAGAAAAAGTGTCCCCTCCAGGGGGACTCAGCTGCAAGTGGGGTGGGTTCCTGACCAGGCTGGTGACATCCTGGCTGCTTCCAGCCCCGTGCGACCTGGGCAGTGACTGACCTGCATATATATGTATCAGGGGAACTTTGGCTGCTTTGGATTCTGAGCACTTTGGCTAACAAGTAGAAAAGGTCAAGGCCAGAATAGATGCACACCAGTGGTAAGACAGAGGGGACTTTTACCAATACTGCCTTGAAATACCTCCTGCTGTTCAAAAGCTCCAATCCTGGGCCTGTGATGCCACTCAGACCCTATACCCACACGGCCCATCTGATTAGGGTCAAGTCAGGAGGTGAGATTAGTAATGATAATAAAAACCCTTACGTCTTTATAGAGGCTTACAATTTATGTGGCACATTAAATGTACTTTCTTTTTCAATTGGATTCTGATTCTAACCATTGCCCTGGGGAGTMCTAATTATCTCCATTTTAAAATACAAGGGAAATGAAGCTGAGAGATTCAAAGACTTGTTCAAGGACAGCTACTAAGTGGTCAAGTCAGGAATTGAACCCACACCTGTCTAGCTCCAAATTCAGTTTTAATATATTTTTTAAATTCTTCCATACAAGTTATACAAGATCCTGATMTGGGCGATTCAGACATAAGGAACCATTCTGCAAGGGTCTGGAATTAGTCTGAGCTGGGGATCCTCCTTGTTTTAGTGAAGGTGGGGCTTTCCCACCTTTTCTAAGGCGTGGTAAAGATCTGGGTCTGAGTTCTGGAGAGGTCCTGGCAGGTCTTACAGTTGAACTCAGTATTCATTTTTCACACAGCAGGGTCTTGAGGTGGGGGTGGGGATTCCTGGAGATTCACTCACTTAGTTAAATGCATCTGAGCTCCCTGTGTGCCATTAACCCACGACTACCTCTGACATTTTAGAAATTACCTTGCTGGGCATCTCGGGAAAGCCCGGAGTCTGGAGAGAGTCATCTCTCCATATAATGGGAAAATAATGCCCAAGGCCACATCTGCTGACGGAAACAAGCTCCCTGCTAGTGTCCTCTTAGGCCACTTCAGCTGCCAGCAACACTGCCTCCATACACAGCCCCTGGACAGTTAAGTTGGAGCGTCCTTGGCCTCTGCCCGAGCTGTGACCTGTCTACCCCACCTGACCCCTTCTGGGCAGATCCACCTTAAATCTGTCTCAGGTGTCATTGCTGCTTCCCCTGCCTTYGGCTTCCGAGCCACCCTCCCCCACCTGTGTGAGTCCCATGGATAATGCCCCACGAGTCCCCCTGCCCTCCAGTTCAATACCTTACTACATTCTGCTCTTGATTCTGCTGCCTGAACACCGTGAAAACCCCTCCTTCTCCTAAATTTCCACGGCCACCATCCTCTTAGTGGCCTCGTGGTCTCTGCTTCTCATCTCCATGTCAGCTCCATCTGGCCATTAGTCCTTTCTCCAAACACGAATCTAACTACCCTCCTCTACCTGATGCGCAGTGGCTTCTTCCCTCTGCTGCAGGCTGGAGGTCTCCCAAGGTTGTACAGGAGCATAATCTCCATGACACGTCGTTTCCCCTGCTGGCCATCCACTTGGCTTGGGCTTTTTACCTTGTCCAAAAGACCCTTCCCCTGGAAGCTCCTCATCATTTTTTTAAGACCCTGCTCATGCATCACTTCTGAGGTATTGACTTCCCAGGAAATACCTGGGGAGGAATTCCTGTTCCAAAGTAGTAAAACTTCGGATGGTTTTACTACTATTATGATGTATATATTTGGAACCACAGTTTGTTTCTGTAGCATCTATTTGCCAGGCTCAGGATCCTTAAAGGCAGAAACTATGTMATTATCAAGGCCCTGGCATGCTCTCAGCTCACAGTAGGTTCAATAACATTGAATGAATTGATGGGACGGATGCTCCTCCCTGATCAAATCAATAACAGCATGTGGAGTGTTGGTGATCCTCCTGGATTTTGTCTTTCGGGAAAAGGGCAAAGATCATCCTCTTTTTGTCTAAGCTGAAAGCTGTCAATGTGTAAAGGCTAAGAGAAATTTTTGTTCTGCAATGCATCTTTTTCCTAAAATTGTATCTGGGGGGGGGGATGGGGATGTAGAATTTCAGACAAAATGAAGAACTTGACCAGATTTTTCAGCACAGGGTAAAGGGCAAGCATATCACATTAAGTGATTGGTAGAATTGAGTCAGCTTAAGGTCAGTGAGACCCTTGCAAGATTCTGTAGGTAGAACTTTCAAGCCACTTATAAAAGGGTTAGAAACAAGATGCACCAATGCTATGTTTAAGTCCTGCTGTTTGTAACTCAAGACTTTCTTATTAACCAGCAGGACTGCAGAAYGGGGGTTCCTTAGGGTACCTTCAGTTCCTAGGAGCTGTAGACCAGTGAGTGAGAGCAAATGCTTTGGAAGGCAGGTGCTTCCTGGATGCCAAGTGGCTGTTCCTCCCCTTCTTCATTCAGCAGTCAGAACACTCCTGCAGGTTACCATGGTGTGCTGGCTGCTGGAGATCTCTTAAATGAGGGCGAGCGGTGGCCTCTGCTTCAGTTTCCCTTTCGGTTAGGCAGGGCTGGTGTTCACAGCAGCCAATGTCTATCATTTACTTAACTCTGCTGTTACACAAAGTATTTCCTTAAACTTTTCAAAACAGGAGGGGAGCAGACCCAGTTGAGTCCCCCAGTCTACCTGCAGGGTCTGAGAACAGACCAATAGAGAGTCGAAAAAGTCTGGAAACAATCTGGCGGCTGGAAATTYCCCAGAGACAGAGTTACAGCAGGCAGGTCCCACTCCACCCCTGGCTCCAGGCCACATTTTCGTTGGGGCCAGTTTCTTGGCCCCGTAGAAGATTTGGCTTCCCCTGGAAACCTCCAAGCCTGGGATGCTTTGGGGAGGGTCTCGGTCTTGACTTCCCCGGGGCTGGAGACCGAATGGCCCTGTGCCCCTTTCAAACGGCTCCTAGGCAGCTGTTGTCCACTGGAGTAAGAGAACTCCACCCCAAACTCGGGAGGAGCCCATGTGGCCTCTGCCAGAGCAGATGGAAGCCTGCGGAGGACCCTGGCAGGGAAGCCCAAGTGCTGACCCTCCGACCTCACCGACCCCGGGCCGGGAAGTCCCCTTCCAAACACAGGGGCACAACACAAAGTCTCGAGACTCACCTTTGGGCGCAGGGGGCTTCCTTGGCTGGGATCTGTCCCGCGCTCCCGGGAGTGACAGCGACCGGGYGGGCGAGGTGGGGGCTCCGCAGCGCCCAGGACTGCGCGGCCAGCGGCGCCTACCTGCCGCAGCGCCCCGGGTGCGCCCGGCCCGCCCTGCCCTGCCGCTGGCCGGCGCCTGGCATACTTGAGGGTTCAGTGCAACCCGTTCTGCCCGATGTCACAGACGCAGCTTCCCGGGTCGGACGCGGTCCCCAGGCTCGCGCCGCTGGCCCGGCTTCCCGCGGAGCCGGCCGACCACCGACTACCGTGCCCTTGGCCTGGGGCGCCGACGCCGGCCGCGCCCTCCCCTCGGCCTCCCCCCGCCCCGCGGTGACGCGCTCTTGCCCCTCCGCGGCGGAGCGCGCCTCCTGGAGGACACCGCCTCCCGGCCGGCCGGGTCCCGGGCCAGCGGTCTCTCACAGCCRCCCAGTGTTCCCAGGGACCGAGCTCAGGGCACACGGCTCCAGGGACAGGAGCCCCTGCTGCCTGAGAGGGACTTCTTGGAAAGGGGGTGGGAGGCCCCGAGAGGGACACCCCGAGGGTGGCCAACCTCCCCTGCCTTAGCTGATGAGGGAAAAGCGACAGTCCCTCTAGGTGACGCCCTGTGCTCTCGCSGAGCTTGGGGTCTCCAGAGATGTCTTGGCCACACTGAAGGTGTTAGGGAAAACTGTCAACAGGCTTTGTCAGAAGTAGAGAAGGAGGGGAGAGCCAACTCCAAAAGTTCTCCAGAGCCCTTCCTCTCACCCCCGTTCCCMTCTCTAGTTCTGGAGCCATGACAAACAGGAAGACAGCGCCAACGGTGCATGTGGCTCTGGCACATGTAGGTTCTGAGGGCCAGGAAGCTTGATTGGTGTCTCCAGGGTTTCTGCAGGTGAGGAGGAGGGGTGTCAGGACCTGGCTGTGGAGCGTCCAGGGTCTTCCTCAGAGTCCTCTAGGGTGTGAGATTCTACCCCCTTGACTGTATCTGCCAGGTGCACAGGTACCAGGTACCAGGGCTGATCTGGGGCTTGCTCTCCACCAGCTGGGCCCAGGCAGTGGCCTCCCCACGTGGCCATGGAAATGACTGGTGCCAGCTGTTACAACTGAGCAACAAGAGAGCCCTTCCTGTTTATACTGGAGAGGCCAAATGGCTCTGAGTTGAAAAACCAAAGAGAAAGCCCAGCACCCCAGCCAGGAAGGCCCAGAATGGTCAGGGAGAGAGAAGAGGAATGTGTTCCTTCAAGTGAAGATTAGATGGGATCTTCTTCCCAGAAACCCAGGCAGATTTCTGTGCTCAGTCTGCATTTGAATAAGTTGGGGGGAAAGGGGTCCCAGAAATAGGTGGGCTAGTGGGTAGTTAGGTAGGACTGCAGGGAGTAGAAATKTGGGCTTTGAAAGAAGATACAGAGGTTCTTAGGGAAGCCGGTGCCTAGGCATGGACTGAAACAGCAGCTTGGGAGAGCCGGTTCCTCAGCAGGTGCTTTTAGCAGGCTGGGGAAGCTTCGTGTGTGGTGACACTTTGTGCCTATTATCATCTACCCACTTAAAGTTGGTTCCTCTGGGACTCCTGAAGCGCAAAGCTGGAGCGTAGGGTCTGATGAGAGTTGAGGAAGACAGGGCTGAAGTCTGAGGGGAAGGCCTCCAGTGCGCTGCTGAGGATTTGGGAATGTTCGGTCTGAGGTTACACGTGTGTGGGATTTGATATCATCCTACAGATGAGACTGAGGTTCAGAAGTAGGTCGGTAATTCCCTCAAGGTCACAGCTAATAAATGACGGGACTCAAATCTGGGCTCAAGTTTTTCTGACCCCTGCTTTCCCCCTCCACCTCATCTAGTAGAGGAGGAAGGAAGGGGTAGATGCAGGCCTGGAATTATGCCCGTAGAGGGAAGGATGGGAAAATACTTTCTTACCAACATTACAGAGTGGTTCTGGCTGAGGAGACGGTTATAGGGGTTGCTTTTAAGAGAAAAGAAGGGAGAAAACAAATGAGAGGAACTGAGGCAGGTGAGTTGCTCTCTGGGCTTCATGGATTTGGCTGTCAGAAGAAGGAAAACCCAGGCCTATCAAAGGTGGTGTGTCTGTGCCGTCTGGTTCCTGAGGAGAAAAGCCAGTAGCTTCTGGGGCAGACAAGTCGGGGACTTACTGGAGGGCAAGCTGGTGGCTTGGCTGACCCTGGGTGATCAAGGCTATAGAGTCTGTTGAGGCCCCGATGTGGCCAAGAATATGAAATTACCGCAGAAGGTGGGAATGGGCGTCTGGCCAGGTGTTCTCATTCTGGTGGATGCTGCCTCCCTGGGAAGAGGCAGGTCAGAACACCCACCTCTTGTTTCATTACAACGTCTACCCACTCATGAYGGGCCTCAGGGAACCACGGAGCTGTTCCAGTTTGCTTAAGCCTCATTATTTTTCTTGTTTTCTGTAAAGACATTTGAAGGTGGTCAAGAGGTTAGTGGGCTCCAAATGGAGTGAAGCAGAATGCTAACATCCAATTAAGAAAAAAAGCTTAAAATAGAAGATCTGTAAACTGAAACTGGAAATTCAAACCCTTTTTTTGGGTGACCACCCCCCACTAACTTTAGCACCTGATGTGTCTTGGTTTCRTGTCAGTTTCAGAGGGGAGGTGTCGCTTCCCTCTCGGACATTGTGAAAATCAGTGGGGCATTAAGTGTTGAACTTCAGCCTTCTTCCATGGCCACATGGACTGCATTTGCTTTTCTTTCTCAGTAATGCCCTGTTCCACACAGTTTGGGTGCAGTAGTGGCCAACTTGGATCTATCTGTGCAGCCTGCCTATGGGAGACAGTTTCCAAACTCCAGGTCTAGAGTATAACACACGGTGGTCGCCCAGGGACAGCGCTGCACAAGAAGGGCTTCCTTCTCCAGGGCCACAAGGTCATATTGAGAACATTCTCTTCCTCTCATCTGAAACTGTGGTGCATTCTTGCCTGCAACGCGGTGCGAGGGCCTCGCAGGTCAGGGCAGGGCAGGAGAAGGTCCTGGAACAGCAGCCCAGAGGACCACAAGTCGGGAGGCTGCTGACAGGCGGAGGTGGTTGGAGTGGGAAGAAGATGAGCACAGACTTGTTCGCCGGATCCTGAGACAGCACAGGGAGGCAAGCTCAGGACAGGCCCGCGGAAGCGCCGCTTCACAGGCAGGCGATGAGCTTGTGGGGTGATTATCCCCCAGAGGTGGCACAAGCTGGCAACGGAAATGGATTCTGAAGGGTTTGGACAGACTGTGAATGGCAGAGCCCTAAGGGAGACCCACGAGAAGCTGAGATGTCCTCTCTGTGGTTGGGAGTCCAGGGCGACCCACRGGCACTCACAGCGGGTACCTCGTGGGCAGTTCCTGCCTCCATGGAACTTGGAATCAGGCCAGCAGGCCATGTCATTCCCCCCTCCCCCACCCAATTCTAGAATCTCTGTGGCCTCTGCCTTAGGAAGGCAGCAAAACCTTGTTCTTTTTACCGCAGTCTCATGACCCATTTAAAATGTGTTACCTCTTCCTCATTTTGGCTTTTGATTTCTTTCAGGTTTTGAATGTCTGTCTTCATGCCAGTTATTGCAGTTAGATTTCTGGCAGAACTTCCCTCCTAAATTACCTCATTCTGACATAAACTAATTGTGAAAGTCCTTTAAAAAGAGCAGCAACATTATCCTTTTCTTGGAGGCTCTTTTAGTGTGATATCTAAAATGTCTTCAATGTTTTATCCAGGGCGTCGGGAAAAATGTTATTTTTATGGACTCCGACTCTTGGCATTGGTGGGAACTTGGATGTCTCCTCTAATAATCCTCCTGTTCCTCCTCCACCAAAGTTCCCTTCATGTCCCTACGGGACCAAGCCCCAGCACCTTCAGTGTGGCAGGGAGGGTGGGTGGTGGCCTGGAAAGCCCTTTGTTAATACTTCCGGGCCCTGAGGGGCTCAATTCTCATTTTGTTTGTGGCTCACAGCCCCCAGAGTTGTGTCTCCTGAGCTGTCTTATGGCACTCTGGCTGGCAGTCGTGAACGGGCTGGCACTACTGTGTGGGGTCCTCTGTTGGATTCAGCATTGGCCTGGGATGTCAAGAGGGGGGCTCTGGACTCTGTTTTGTGGCAGGGCTCTCCGGTGGGAGCAGAGCTCCTTCCTGTGGTTTCCTCATCTGTCTGCCCCCTTGGGGGTGGGTGGTGTATGCAGCGAGCCCAGAGTGTGGGCTCCTACAGCATTACCAGGTGGAATGCTGCTCCCCCTTGGTCGGACTCCTGGGAACCCCTGCGCGCCCCCGCCCGGCACCTCCACTCCGGCAGAAGTTCTTGTGGAGGCTGGAGTTGTTCATCGCTCCTGCCCCCAGGGCCCATGGAGTCACTGTGGCTTTGAAATTAGCTTCCTTAACTACTTCAGTGACTCAGAGCACCAGTGTTGCCACCAACAAACTTCCTGTCCCTAGGCTGGCTCTTTTATAACAGGTAGGAGGAAGGGCTGACACAGACTTCAGAAAATAATGAGCCAGCCTGCGATTGATTCCCAAGTTGTAGAAACACACTCACGCTCTCGACTCGCTCTTTTCTCTGTGTTAGGCACTGAGTGACGCAGCTCATACACATTGCTTTTGAAATCGAGCGACTCTGTGAGTTATTATCATATCCGTCTAATATAGGCGGAAACTGAGATTTTGAAAATTTAAAAATTTGTCAAAAGTCAGATAAATGGCAGGCAGAGATTTCAATAAATAGAAAGATTTATTCGACAAATATGTTCCCAGTAACATAAAAATAAATGAGACTCTAGTTTCACGGAGCTTATGCTGGAGTCAGGTTTCAGCCCAGAAGTTTCTGAATTCAGAGCTCCATGGCTGTCCACCTTCATCCCATGGGTAGGTGGGGTCCATGGGTCAACTGATTCTGGGACGATAAGGACAACGGTAATACCTGGAGCTTTGTAAATTTTCAGTTTGCAAGAGTGTTTCCCAGGTATTACTAAACATGACCTTGCCTTTGTTCGTGGACAGGGCATGAGCAGCCGGGCTTGTCGAGGCCGTGGCCTACGGTAGTTGCACAACTGGACTAGAATCTGGGTGTTCTGCCCCCATATCAGTGGCCTCTACTTGCAGAATGCAGGATAAATGTGCAGCCCAGGAACATCTTCTGGTGAAACTTGGAGATGGTTGTCTGAAAGGATGTAGAAGCAGGGTCTAGACCAAGAGCTCCAGCAGAATATTGATATCTGCACTTGGAAACCATGCGGTGCAAGAGCACTTTGCCAGTCTTCCTACCAAAACATTCCTGAAGGACAGAGGATTGTGGCTTTAGGAGGACATTAGTTGTTAT